AATTAAAAGTTAACGGACTGGCTTTCCCTTGGCTCTCCTGGTAGCATCAGAACTACTTTTTTGGAAACCTAGTAAACACAGGACACAACAATATTACTGGTGCTATCTGAGAAGAAGCCCATAGAACCCCGGGTATTACGTTCTACGCATAGAAGGATTTCCTTCCCAGCTCAACTCTGGGCTAGTTTGTGCCTACTCAGTGCCAAACCTCCCCATGTGAATACAGGTGTTGCTGATAACTGAGGAGACTGGGTCCAACTAAGAATAAGTTCAGTTGCTGCTTCTGCATTAGAAGAAATCCAGAAAGAAACAGAAAACAGGTTCCACTAGTTCCACTGCTGCGTGTCTGTGCCACATACACCAGGCTGAGTGTCTCCATGCTCCAATACTACCATGTCTTCTGACACTTTCTTCACCTTTACTATTCTAGCTGTCTTCTAATTTTATATAATTTGCAAAGTTGTATGAACTGGCATTTTGTCTTACATGTCATTGTTACGCATTGTTACATTGTTCTCTTTCCTAAGCCAAAAACAACGTGCCTTTCCAATTATGGGTGTAACGAACAATGGCCACCCATGAATCAGCAAGCCTCAGGCCATGCAGCAGGCCTGGGAGAATATCCCCACTCATTATTTCCTGCTCTGGAAATAAATGTGTCATCTGTAGAATGCTTCATTTTTGAAAAATGCTTCCGAGTCTCTTCTTGTTTATCCAACAGCTAGAACGGACCTTCTTAGCTCGCTCCAGCAATTCTCACTATAGACACCAGAAATTAATAGAAATGTGTATTTGAATTTACATACAAAATCCCATCACGGCTACTTCTAGTGATTGTTGTCTGTGAGTCAAGAAGAACTATCTCAGCCAGACAAACTTAGTGCCGAGACAGCTAGTCACTGCGGCGTGCTTGAGAGCAACAAGCGTCGTTCCTGGGTGTTCTGACCCCATCTTGTGACCGGCAGTGGAAATGCAGGAGCTATGAAAGATGCCTGGCCGAGACCAGAGAGAAGCTTCTCACCCAGTCAAGTGCAGCTACTTCTGTATTCATCAGAGAATGAATCAAATTACACCTGAATGTGAAAATTAAAAAGTTAACAGCTGGCAAAATTTATGCAACAAAGTTTTACCCGAACAAGGATGAAAACCGTATTTGGGTTTAACTTTTGGCTTTGGAGGCATCACTCCTTTGTTTGTTCTGCAGACCAACCAGCTGGCTCCCAGTCAACCATTCGCCACTCTAGTCACTGAGAACAAGGCCCCATGTCCCGTTCTCCCATTCGTGATAAAAGTAATTATTGGTGAAGCAGGATGGGACACCACATGCATAAGGACCTCACCATATACATTCTAAACTCTCACAATTGTCTAGAAATCACAAAAGCTTCGTGATTTGTAACATTTCTCAAAAGAATAGAAAGGCCTGTTAGCAAAGATTGAAGGCTTCTTTATGCGTGCACTTTTTAAGGTATGCTACCATAGAGTTGTTGAGATTGGAAAAGACCACTAAGATCATCTAGTGCAACTGCCAGCCTAAGCCCACCATGCCTACTAACTGCGTCCTTCAGTGCTGCATCTACATCTTCTTGAGCACCTCCAAGGACAGTGACTCCACCACCTCCCCAGGCAGCTCATTCCAAAGCTTTACCACACTTTCTGAGAAATTCTTCCTAATACCCAGCACAGCCTGAGGCCGCTCCCTCTCATCCTGTTGCTGTTACCTGGGAGAAGAGGCCAACCCCCACCTCGCCACAACCACATCAGAGTTGCAGAGAGGTCTCCCTAAGCCTACTCTTTTCCAGCCTGAACAATCACTCAGATAAAACGTACTCTATTGGTCAATATCAAGAGACATAGGAAAGAAGTTTTGTGTATGAAGGATCTTAAACTCAGCATTTAGCTCTGGGAGCTTTTACCAACCCACAAAAACAGCACTGAAGACACACAATCTGCAGGACCACCTCCTCTGGAAGTTGCTGCGCCCTACAGGTGCTGCATACTCCCAAATCATGCAGAAACTAATCAGGAACACAGCAGCAAAGATGTTTGGAACAACACAGTTACAGAGGTGACAGCCGGGTTGGCCCGGTGTGCACTGCTTGAAAAGTGGACTAGCTGAGACAACCCTGATTCACATCGGCTTATCCCAAAGCTCCAGACTTCTTCAAAACCATTGGTGTCAGTTCTCAACTTAAGCATCTTGTGCCAACCGGCCGAACCGCGAATGATGAAACAAGCAGCCACGGCTGGATACAGCTGGGATGCAGTGCCTGTAAGCGGCGGGGCAGCAGTAAGAAGCACTCCAGCCGCTGACTGCCCTCCCGGAGCTCAGCACGCAGCCGACACCGGGCCCGGCCCCACCCCTGCCAGCAGCAGCACGTGCGCTGCCGAGAAGGCCTCGGCCAGCCCTGAGCACATGGAAAGAAACTCGTTGGGTGAGGTTGAGGCATCCGCAGGGCTCTGGGACAGGACACGGCGCGGTCCCACCCGCACCTCAAGCCCCTACCGCGCCGCCGGGGGGCGCCATTTTAGGAGTGCCCCCCTGCCGCCTCCAATAAATGGCGGAGGGAGGCGGGTCTCTTTTTCCCGCCACCCAATGAAAAAAGACCATTCCAGGTGGAGGCGGTGCCGCGCGGCCCCAAGCCTAATGAGAGCGCGAGAGAGGAGAGGATGGACGAATAGCCCCTCCTACCCGGATTCGTCCGTGGGCAGTGCCCGTCATCCTTCGGCCAATGGGGCGGACGGCGCGGGGCGCGTCGCGCTTTCCCGTGGTGCCGCGCGGCGAGCGGCGGCAGGAGCGGCCGCGATTCCATCCGGGTCTCGGCGCGGCTGCGGGTCACCCTGCGGCAGGTAACGGGCGCGGCCCCGGCTCCGCGCGGTGAGCTGCGGGCCGCCCGGGCTCGGGCGCGGCGGGAGGAGGAAGAGAAGGAGGGAACTGCACCTCGTCCCGTTGTGGGCCCGGCCCGACCCCTCTGCTCGGCGCGCGGCCCCGAGAGCGGGTGCTGCCCAGGGGTGCGGGTTACGGGAGGGGCGCGGCAGGAAGCGCTGTGCGGTCGCAGCCGCCGCGCGGGGCCCTCGTATCGTCGGGCCGCGGGCGGTTTATTTACCGTAATGGAGGCGTTTTTATTCCCCCTTTTCCCTCCCCCCCTCTCTCCTCAGACTAACTTGAAGGCCCGGAAGTGCCGCCCCCGGGCGCTCCTGATTGGCGGCCCGGCCGCGCCGCCCGCCGGGGATAGGCTACGGATGCCGTCAGCGCCGGGTACGTCACTTCCGCTAGCAAGTGTGTGGGCCGCGGAGACCTTGGCCTCGGGGGGGCCCGGGCCGTGCGGGGAGCGGGCGGTCGGGGCCCGGCGCGCCAAGGGGAGGCGGCTGAGGGCCGCAATGCGCCGCGGGCAGCGTGCCTCAAGCTGAGGGAAGGGACGCCGTACAGCGGCCACATGGCAACGGAACCCTTCGGTCGGGTCGGGGCGGAGCGGCGGCCGGCTCCGCGCTGGTAGCAGGCTGTTGTAGCCTAACCGCACCGCGGGGCGGGGAGAAACGCGGCACCCTGCTCGGCTCCCCGGGCCTTATTTCTGGGGTGGGAGTGGGGACTCAGCCCGACGCGGGAGGTTTGTTAAGCTTCGTTGATAGATCTGCCTTCTGCACATCTTTTGTGCTTCTCTTTAAACACGCTGTTAGTGCGAGCAGCTTCCTGGCTAACAAAAGCAGCAGCAGGGGAAACTGCCTCGCTTAAAACATAGATTGACCCTGCAGAACATGAGTGCAAAACATGAGTGACCCTGCAGAATGGCGTCTGGCAATGTGGGGTCAAAGCCAACGCATATCTGGACTTGGGAAAATGAGCTTGTCCTTTCAGAATCAGTAACATTTTGTTACTCAGCAACGTTTAATGAATAGGGTGTCCCTGCCGCTCTCTCAAGTAGATGAGCAGCTCCACTCCTTGGAGATGAGCAGCTCCCAGGGCCTCGTGCCCACGAGGCACCACTGTGGGACAGCTGCAGCTCCCTGGACTCATTGCAGCTGCTGCTCCAAACCCTGCAGTCTTTATTCAGTAATCAGCTTTTAAGAGGAGACTTAATAACTTTTTTTTTTTCCTTTTTTGCCCCATAGTAGCTATCTTCATGAAAATGACCTTATTAATTAGCAGTATTAGGGATGATATTTTTTTATAAATCAAATATCTTGAAATGCAAAATCGATGCATATAGTTGTATTAGAAAGTTACTTTACATAAGGCCAGTGACTTGTCAGAAGGAAACAGATGCATCATTCCATTACTACTACCAAGCATATCCTTATTTTCACTTTCCTTTTGATAAACACCTTCTGTATTTTGCTCTGTTGGCAGTGGAAGCATCCTTTCATTTGCAGATAAAAGGCTCCCGTGATGTAGAAGAGGCAAAAGATGTCAAATTATGTTGTCAATAACATAACACAGCATTATCGGGAATGTTCTTATGTGTACTAACTTGAATGTTTGCTGAATTGTAATTATTAGTTGCATAAAGATTGCATATTAATATAAAACAAGCTGCCTGTAACATGCTGTTAACAGGTAAAAGGGCTTTCTTAATTGCTATTCCATGGAGAAAAACAACCATTAATAAATGTTTTGGTAATGTTGCCAATAAAGTATCAGTAAGTTTTCGTCTTTAAAAAACAATCCTATATTTCTTCCACTTTTCCCGTAGTTAACTGCATTCTGATAAACTGACTGGGGTTGTTGGAACAAAAGCTTTGCCTGCTTCCCAATGTAGCAGGTCCTAAGAGACAGATCTAGTGAATAAATACACACGCATTTATTGGTAATAAAACGCACATTCCTGTTTGAAGCAGGATCAAACAACTGAAGTGATGGTTTCTATTGAGAACCATATGGCATTTGGAGCCGTAGCTAAACTGCAGTATGCTCATATCCATGTTTCTACTGCCAGTGTACTGATTGACAAATGTATTCAAAAGGATTTGTGAAAATAAGACATCACAGTGTAGTTGTTTCCCTTACTGCACTGCATTACCTCATGTTGCTGAGGTTCTTGCCAGGGCCGTACCCCACTGTATGCTGCATACTCAGTGTATGCTGAATGGGAAATACGAAAACCTGATTTTTCTGTCATGTCACAGGATCTTGCATTCACATCTGCAAAAGATGAGTTCAAACTGCACGTTACACACCAGTTTTTTATTGCATTTTCAGTGCACTCCCAACATCTTTACACAGACCCGTGAGTCTTCGTGTGCGTGCACAGCCATACGTACTCACAGACTATTTGTAAACGCTTAGAAGCCTCAACAGACCTTTTTTTTTCCCATTCTGCATTGTCAACTGAAATTATACAGATGCTTTGCTCTTTTGTAGTTGTGCAGTAGTAAATAATAAACCTTGGCTTCTGCTCTTTAAGAGTTACGCACTGATTTTAACACTCAGCACAGTCTTTTTTTTTTGTTTCTATCAAACACCAAGCCATTTTAAAAAACAATACCAGGAATCTAATTGGAGTAGAACACTGGGTTTATGGATATAACAAGAGGCAATTTCTAAACACTAAGTAACTGAAGTGCATCAGTAGGGCTTAGTTTTGACTAGCGTGGAAAGGGTTAAACTTACAGTAGAATATGTGGCATTCATTTGTGTAGTTTGCTTTTTTTTTTTAAAGAACTAATGCTCACTTAGATGCAGATAGTTTAATGCTAACGTAAAAACTGAGTACCTGCAGAGGATGTTGCTAGAATTTGCATTCCTGTCATTCTTTGTTCACGTTCAAAATTATTAATCGTGATCACATACTTTACTTTTCTGCAGGAGATGTGCTTCATTCCATGCATGAGTGGGCAGTAGTGACTCCTAATTTCTTTCAAGCTGTGTTTCTGGATATTTATATTCCTTCTGTAACGACGTGGCCAGAGAAATACATGAAAATCAAACATAATAATTGCAAATGGAATAAACCAGTAATATTTCATGTTATAATTACTCAAAACCAGGATGCTTTATATTAAAGCAATTAATTGTCAGTGGGATGTAGATTTTTTGACAAAGTTTGGCATTTCTGGTGGAGACACGAGATACAGACATTATTGATGACTCTCCAAGGTATTAATCTAGTGGACACTTAGACCTGCCCAGCTGCATGGATTTTGGTGCTGCTCATATTTGGAGTTAAAGCATATCAGTCCTTTGTGTGGCTGCACATTTACACTTACTCCAGTGTATTGCTGCTAAGTTGACTATCGTGTCCAAATAAATACTAAAAATAAAATACATACCAAATAAATACTAATAATACTGAATTTTAAGGTGTTGGCCATAAGCAGATGACTCTTAGAAAGGCTTCTGGCCTTCATCACCACATCCTGCATTCTCATTAAAGCATGTTTGCTTTCTTGGATGGGGCCTGTTTTCACCATAGGTGAATTTGCTTGGCGCAAAGAAAAGAAAGTCCTAACTGTCATACATGAGTTTTGTTTATTTGTTTTAAACTTAAAGCTTCATCTTTTCTGCTGTACTTTATTTTATCCACTGAGTTTTTAAAAGTTGAATTTAAACATTAGAGCGAAATAGTCTTTGGTAACAGGCTGTTTACAAATGGTCTTTCTGTAGACGGATGTACTACAGCATTATATACCTCAAATTGATGCATCTGTTTATCCATATAACAACAGATGTCAGTAAAGCACAGTTAGGATAAGAAGCGTTGCCTCTACAAACATCCTTTCAGCTTCAGGTTATTTATTCTGTGCTGCAAAATTGACAAAATCAAGTGGGAGGATAAAGCATTCATCTTTTAGGGTCACACTGAAATGAAATGGAACTTTCATTATAATAAGTCATATTTTATCCCTTCCACGCTGTAAGGGATACAAACTATAACTACAGCTTGAGCTATTTTTCCTTCTGTTCCACAGGTTACAGACTGATTAAGAGCGCTGCTGTTGTACTGTGTGTTACTGAGAACATGTAAATTCCAGTGGCTTTTTTTCTTATACAGCTTATAACTGTTCCAGAGGTTTCAAATATATACAGGTAGTTCAGGAAACTCAAGTGAAGCATTCTTCAGAAAGCTAGTGCCTCTTTAGATTCTACTTTGTCTCTTCTCTAGGATGCTAAGTAGGAGTAAGGCTCCATCAAGACAAGCACAGTATTAAGAAAAAAGTACAATCCAAAACTGAATAGAGATGGGTTTTTAACTCACACTAAAGATAGCTTTTATTTCAGTAATTATGTGATCTTAGGCTCTTTTGGAAGGAGCCATGAGATGTGGATGTAGTGTGTGACAGCAGTAAAGGGCAGCTGAGGGGAAGCAATGTGGAGGATAATTAAGTTTGCCCTAATCACACTATTGTGCCTCCAATCCCCAACACCCCTCCCAGTCCAAAAAAAAGCAAGTTTGCAAGTCTGCACATACTCACTGTGGAAGCTCGATGTGTGGGGTCTTCACGTGCGGCTGGAGAAGGTGGCAGGAATTCCCTCACCAAAAGTGTCAGTGGGAGTCAAAGCACAGCTCCAGTGCAGGTGATGCTACTGCAATTACAGGGCAAAAGCACCAGATGTTGGCGTTAGTGCTTGTAATGCGAATGCTAGAGCTTTACCACGCAGTTAAAGCTGTGCACTGTGCACAGGCTGGGCCCTCAGCCCTGGGCTGCAGATCACTGGAGGAAATTTTGGTAGTGAACTTGGTCAGCTTCATTTGATGTTCCATAATTGCTGCACAATTACAGTGCCGTTTTCTTCACTTTTACTGCTTTGCATATTTTTAAATACAAGCACGTGGTGACTGGAAAACAGGACTTTGAACACAGCAGTTGATGAAGTTAACAAACATGTATTTCTTAAAATATAAAAATCATGAATGTTTACTGCTAAAGTAGTGAGCGTGCTGGTGGCAGCACAGGTTTGCTGTACTCAGGTATGATATCATCAGCATGGTGACTTCAGTGCAAGGATGTATCCATAGCAGATTCACACAAAGCTGAGAAGATACCAAATCAGTAGAGGCTGTGCCAGGAGTATAATTTATCAGGCATGCAGTACGTCAAGCTTCTCTGCCCACCTGTGCCAGGAATATGTAATGTGTAACATCAGGGCAGCCTGGCAGATCTCACTCCTTGAAAAGACAATGCAACTTAGGTGAGACGGGTTTTAGGAGCTGAGAAATAACCATTAACTGTAGAAGTGGTGTGAAGCACAACACTGCTGGGTTAGATTGCATGAATGTCACACAACACCTTCAAGGGACAGTTTGGACTAGAATTTTTGATTCTTTTAATTCTATACCTTTCTATTATTAAACAGAATAGTAAAAAAGACAGTAAGTACCTACCAGAGTAATGTACCATCAATAAAACTGCTTTTCTCCTCTAGCTAAAAGGCAGGATACATGATGATCTTTCATAAGGTGTATTTGTTGCAGAATGAGGTTTTCCTAGTGCCCTGTGTGCACTTCACCATCGATCTCAAGCCAGACTGTTGCATATAACCACAAGATAACAATTGGATGTCATTCAAAACATTTTTTCAAGGACATTTTTGACCTTAAGTAATAGATAGCCTTTCCAGACCTGTAATGACGAAAGGATCTTGTTTCTGGAAGCTCAAAGCAGACAAATGCTTCAGGAGCTGCACATACCTAACAGGAAAGTTTCACAGCAGCATTAGAAAATAGTTCAGAATTTCTTATAGCAGAACTTAATTGAGAAGTCCTACTGTCAATAGCAATAATAATAATAAAAGCTGTTTAGGCTTTAACTCCATCTATAGGTGGTGAAATGCTACAGATTATAATCTGTACAGTAATTTTAGTATCCTGGGTTCATTTTAAAAAAGGAAACTGACAAGTATCCTACAAATTTTATATGCTTTATATTCTTTAAATACCTTTTTTTGTATAGTAGTATCTGTCTAGTTTCTCCAAAGCGCTTAAAACATTTTCAGCACTGAGAGAAGCAGCAGCTTCATCTTAAAGATCCACCTGAATTGAAATGTCTTGGACATCATGGATTCACTAAATGACAGATTGAAAACAGCAAACCAGCACCCTCTGTAGCAAGGCTGACTGGACAGAGGTCTCAGCAGCACCTCTTCTATGTAGGAATGGGCTCCTTGCATGAATTCTGCTCAGCTGGGGAAGGTTTGCACGTAGGAATAAGAAACTGTGAAAGGACTGTCAGTGTCCTTTCCAAATATTTGCTCGACAGGAGGATGTCTAACCAAGCTCATTCAAAGGATGCAATATGTGCCTGTGCTCCATGGTCATTTGCCTTTGTCACAGTGCTACTGTTGTAATTTATTGCTGTTTTGGACATTAGGACCAACTGCTTGTGTCCATCTGCGCATGCTAAAGCACGTGTTCTGATTTGTAAGTGGTTACAAGCAAGACTTTAAGTGTGATTCACCAAAATTTGTCATCAATATTTGTACAAAGGATTCTGGAGTAAAGCTCTGAGGGGGGTGGAAAGTACTTTTTTTTTTCCTCTGCTTAAGGAATAACGTCACCCCTTTGTATATTAATGCATTGGATCACGCGTTGTGTTTTTTGGCAAGGACATTAACATGCATTAGGAGCTCTTGTTCTATCAAGGCTTTGTTTGATGACTGGTCTGAAAACCTCAGCTCAGAATTGGGATGAAGTACGAGTACGACATGTATTTAATGTTTGAAAATCTGTGCATTTCAGTAAGCACTTTCAGCTATCTTAGAAATCACATTGATAAAATGATCAGTTTTCCTCTTCAGCTCTGTTCTCAAGATGTCCTTGCTAAGAAGGGGACTGTAAGTCACATCAGTCTGGAAAGTATTTTGATTTCAATATTGTAAGACTTTTTAGCTTGAGGTCATGTTGAGCTCTGGTAATGTAGAAATTGGCTTTAAAGCTCTATCGGGAGCAGTCAGAGGAGCCCAATTGATTCTGATCTAAAGGCAATGTATATTTTAAGAGGCCTTTTGGTACGGCAGTTCAACAATTAATGTCATGTTGTAAGACCTTATTAAGTTTGTTAAAAATAATATTTTTAAAATTGTGAATAAGTAGAATAAAAATAGTGATTTCTTAAGAATTATAAATATTAGAGTCTTAGACTGATCCATGGACATCACCTGCATGGTTATGGTCCTAGATTTTGTTACTTTAACTTCTGAAGGAACGTAGATCTGCATATGATGTTTCTCATAGACATTTTCTTATATTTCAGATGAGAGATTACATCTGTGGAATACTAATAGTATTTTTCCTGTAACAGACAAGTGTAATGACTGCAGTTTCTATGACTGCTGCAGCTTGCTAGCTGTCTAAAGATTAAGTACATTAAGACCCAAACAGTTGGTAAACTTTTGAAATGAAGCAATCTTACCTTTACAGCAACATTATTGCACAACTGGAGAGAGAGAGGAATTCCCTCCCCCCCAGTGACCAGTATTGTACACTGTAAATGTCTGCAGTTCACTTAAGTTGTCTTTATGAAAGCACCATTCTTTGGACATCACCTCTGAAGATGCCTGCGCTGTGGGATGAGGTAGTAGGTTGTATAGTTTTAGGGTCATACCCACAACTGGGAGATAACTATACAATCTACTGTCTTTCCTAAAGCAGCAGAAAATCAACAATGGAGACTGTTCAATTTCTTCTGCACTTGGAGTGTTTATTGTAGGAGACATATTTCTGCAACATCTACAGGTAATTACTTCTAGATTTTTCTCATTCTCTACATTAATTTATCTTCTCTAAGGATAAAATGTAAGAACAGATTGATTCCTTTAAGGTGGGGTAATCAAATACAAATGGTTGATGTTCTAATAAGTTGTGTTAACATTGCTAACTGAAGCATCAAATATTAATACTCTGGAATGAGACTGTGGTTAGCTACTTCAGCAAAGAGCTTAAGTACATGCTTCTCTATCAGAGTGAGGTAGTAGATTGTATAGTTGTAGGGTAGTTATTTTACCCTGTTCAGGAGATAACTATACAATCTATTGCCTTCCCTGAGGAGTAAAACAAACTGCGGTCCTTTGCTGTCATGCATTTCCACATTGACTAAAAGCAGATTTGTCGAAGTTTAGGGTTGTAAAGAATCAAATTAATCCTGTAAATTCTGTCACTAATTAACAGTCAGTTTGAGTGGTGCAAACCCCAAATGGTATTTGACTAATATGACTTTTCTTCCAAGGTGAGTGGCGCAGCACTGTCTGGACATCAACAATGCATCTCTTAGTAGATATAGAACTGAATACACCATAGACTGGAAATCATTCTAAAACAATTTGGTTTTGAATCTAAAAGAAGTCTTGGCTCAAGCTCATACATTGTGACATAAACTGTTTTAATTTCTGTAATACATTAACATTCTGTGACTGTTCAGTAGAAGCTGGAAAATTTACAGTTATACTTCATTAATATGTCTGCTTATTTTTCTCTAGCTTTTCTAGCAAGTGAGATTTAAACAACGTAATACAAAGATTAAAGTGTTGAATGGCCAAAATTCACAGCATAGCCAGGGTTGGAAGAAACCTCAAGGACCATGAATCTCCAACCCCCCTGCATCCACAGCCTTTCTGGGCAGCCTGGATTCATCCCTTCAACTGGTTAGGAGAATGTAAAGCTATGAAATTTGAGTGCCCAAGATCCAAAATTGTAACTTCTGTCTGAAGAGGTTACTGTTTTTATAAGGCATTTAGAGATTGTGTTCTTTCCCCCATAAGCCTTAGGTGTACCCCATCTAGCTGCTTCTGCCTTAGAGTGACCAGCTGACATCTTCCTATAACAAGGAAGAAAAAAAACAAAAAACAACCACCAAACATGAAAACACTTTTTGGGACTGAAAGTTCAGCATAGTAAGTGTGAAAATGGAGCTATTAATGAGTATTTAAGCCAGGAGTGTTACTAGTTAACCACTTGTTAAACAGTGCTAACTGTAAACTTGTAGTACATGCCCTGGCCTAAAAATGCAGAAGACCAAAAGCAGCTGGTAAGCTAAGCTGATTTCACAGAGCAGCTGCTAAGCAAGAACTGCAAAAAGGAAGCATTGGGCTCCTAGGAAGAGGTAGTAGGTTGCATAGTTCTAGGGCAGGGATTTTGCTCACAAGGAGGTAACTGTACAACCTGCTGCCTTTCTTAGGGCTTTATTATAACACCATTTTGGCTCCATCCTAACCTCTGCAGGTTTGGTATGTGAAGAGAAATGAAGCTGTTTCTAAGCATATTGAGGTTTAATGAAACTGGTGTCTCAGCCAATCTGTAGAGACTTGAGCGTACTATTAACTGGAATTCAGTATTGTGAAATGCTGCATTTCAAGGCACACGTGTCATTTTGTTGACATCAGTGTTGTGATAACTTACAAAGAAAATACTGAAAACAAATTCCAAGACTAAGATCAAATTCCCTACAATTAGGATGGAGGTGTTACATACTTCTGAACATTCAGTTAAGTACTCATGCTATGTACTTGCAAACAGGCAGCTATAACATACCTTCCTTTGGCTTTATGAAGTTTCCAAGGATCAACTTACGACTCACCTGAACGCTGGTAGGCTCCTGCAAGCAGGATAGGCTCTCCCAATAAATCACGCTGTGTCATGGAATACTTGCAGTCCTACAGGAACGTCTTCAAAGTGAATGACTGCATATCTGCTATGGAGTTGTA